CTCCAATCTGTTACTCACATAGTAAGCCTCTCTGACCCTGCCACAAGGGATATATGTAATCTAGCTGCTACTTCATATCTACCCACATGTGAAATAAAATTTATAAGTTCCAATATAGAAGGAGCCTTAGTTTTCAACCAATTTTTTGCTATTAAAGATAGCGCTGCTATAAGAATATGAAACATCAAATATTTGATAGGTTTAGTATATTGATCATTAAACACAAATAATAGGATTGCCAGATCATTCTGAATTACTAAGTTAGTAGGTATTTTGAGTAATTTTATTACTTCTTCCCAGTAACTTTGAATTATAGAGCAGCTCCACCATATATGTAACATATTACCTATATTTTTCAGACATCTCCAACATCAGTTGCTAAGACCAGTAAGGTTTTGTCATGTATAAATAGGGGCATAAATACTCTGGATGAAAATATAATTTTGCCTCTTTATAAATTGCTGGTAAGACCACACCTTGAATATGCTGTGCAATTATGGGCACCTGTTCTAAAGAAAGATATCATGGCACTAGAAAAAGTGCAGAGACAAGCTGCAAAATTGATAAAAGGAATGGAGCATTTTAGTAACGAAGAATAGACATGTGCAATTTGTTTCGGTCCCAATGTGAATTCTGAAGAATTTCGGGAAATTCGGACACTTGGAAGTACCCGAATGTCTGAATAGATGGATTGCCGAATGGTTGAAGTCCTGAAATTACCGAAGTGCCGAAGCACAGTATTGCCTAAGAACTAATATACTTACCCAGTGAAAGAATGAAGAATGTTACGCTGTATACAATTTTAAATACAAAGTATACAAACATAGGAGGATTCAGCTGTAAGCATTTGCAACACTTACAACAATCAAATAACATACATTTATATAAAATGTAAGTTACTTAGCCAGTCAGTGTAATGACAGGAATGAATAAGTAGATAACTCCCTAATTCCCACGGTATTAGGGAGCTATCTACTAAAAGTCTTTCAGCCAAATTTACTAATACTAGGTAAAAATTACTTAGTATTAGTAAATTATGCTCCTCGCTATACTGTGAGTAGGGGCATGTCTATTAAACAGTGACCAGCCTACAGCTGCTCACTTAAAAAAAAAAAAGTCCCCCCCCTCCCGAGCCCCCACCCGTGCTGTGTGAGTGGGGGCTTCTAACCTGAATGGGGGACCTACTGCTCCCCCGGCCCCCACACCTGAGCGGTGGGTAGGGGCCCTAAATTGGAATAAGAGGGGAACCTAATGTCCTCCTCCCTGGCCCCCACCCCTGAGTGGTGGGTGGGGGCCCTAAATACTAATAAGGTGGGGACCTAATGTCCTCCCCCCTGGCCCCCACCCCTGAGAGGCGGTTGGGGGCCCTAAATACTAATAAGGGTGGGACCTAATGTACTCCCCACTGACCCCCACCCCTGAGCGGCGGGTGGGGGCCCTAAATAAAAATGTTACCCCCCCCCAGGTGACTAGGGGTCCCTAAACCCTTAGTCACCCCTCCAAAAAAATAACCCCCTACCTACCCCCCTCACCCTAAAAATAATAACCATTCAATGTTTTCCTTCTTCTAAAATCTTCTATTTTCAGCCCCAAAAAAGGCCAAATAAAAAATCCATAATAACCGACGCACTTTAAAAAAAAAAAAAAAAACATCTTCCTGCAATTAGGCTCAGAGCACTCTGATTGGTGGGTTTAAGCCATCCAATCAGAGTGCTCTGACAGGTAAATGAAGAGCGGCGGGTGGGGGCCCTAAAGAAGAATAAGGGGGGGACCTATTGTCTTCCCCCCCGGCCCCCACCCCTGAGCAGCGGATGGGGGCCCTAAAGCAAAATAATGGGGGGACCTATTGTCCCCCCGGCCCCCACCCCTGAGTGGCTGGTGGGGGCCCTAAAGAAGAATAAGGGGGAACCTATTGCCCTCCCCCCGGCCCCCACCCCTGAGCGGCGGGTATAAATATCAATAAAGGGGGACCTATTGTCCTCCCCCCTGCCCCCACCCCTGAGCTGTGGGTGGGGGCCCTAAATTGGAATAAGGGGGGAACCTAATGTCCTCCTCCCTGGCCCCCACCCCTGAGTGGTGGGTGGGGGCCCTAAATACTAATAAGGTGGTGACCTAATGTCCTCCCCTCTGGCCCCCACCCGTGCTGTGTGAGGGGGGGCTTCTAACCTGAATGGGGGACCTATTGCTCCCCCGGCCCCCACACCTGAGCAGGGACATTATTCCAATTTAGGGCCCCTACCCGCCCTAAATTGGGGGGGCCCTTATTCTAATTTAGGGCCCCCACCCACCGCTCAGGGGTGGGGGCAGGGGGGAGGACAATAATTTATAAAGAGTCCCCGGGCCCCCACCCCTGAGTGGCTGGTGGGGGCCCTAAAGAAGAATAAGGGGGAACCTATTGCCCTCCCCCCGGCCCCCACCCCTGAGTGGCGGCCCTAAATAAAAATTTAACCCCCCCCCCCAAACGCCTAGTCACACCCTTCCCAAAAAAATAACCCCTACCTACCCCCCTCATCTTAGAAATAATGAGGGGGGACCCTTATCTAAATACCTGTAAAAAAATAAAAATAAACTTACCATTTGATGTCTTCTTTCTTCTAAACTCTTCTTTTTTCAGCCCCAAAAAAGGCCAAATAAAAATCCATAATAACCAACGCACCTTAAAAAAAATAAAATCTATCTTCACCCATGGAGGGCTCCGCGCAGACTGAGCTCTGCAGGGCGGGGGAAGGCTTACCTGTCAGTCTCTTCATTTACTTGTCAGAGCACTCTGATTGGATGGCTTAAACCCACCAATCAGAGTGCTCTGAGCCTAATTGCAGGGCGGGGCAGAGCTAAGTCTGCTCGGAGCCCTCCATGGGTGAAAATGGATTTTTCTTTTTTTTTGCGCTCGTTTTTTTTTTTTGTCGGTTATTATGGATTTTTTACTTGCCCTTTTTTGGGGCTGAAAAAAGAAGACATCAAATGGTAAGTTTTGTTGTTGATGGGCTGATACTAGGCTATTTAAAATAGCCACTTAATAATACAACCGTATGTTTGGAACCTTCATACCTCCTTTTTGAAAAGATATATATAATGTGGTCAATGCAATCCTAGGTTTTTTACCTTGCCAAGCACAAGCATTTATGTTTTGTTGAATTAAATGAAAATAAGAAATTGGGACTCTAATAGGGACTGTTCTAAATAAATATAGCATTTTGGGTTATATACTGTAATCATTTTAACTGTGGCTATACGGCCAGACCAAGATACAAATTTATTTTGCCAATTATGTAATGTATTAATAATTTCTTTACGGAGCTTTACATAATTTACCTGATACTGTCGCGATATCTGGTAAGGTAACCGTACTCCCAAAAAGGTCAGATGATCGGTTCTCCAACCATATGCATATTGACTTTTTAACCAAGTCATACAGTCATATTCCATCCTCACCCCCATCATGGCCTGTGTTTTAGTAAGATTTAATTTGTAAAAAGAACAATTACTATAACTTTGTAAAACAGAATGAAATTCTGGTAACCATATTTCTGGCTTTGTTATAGCTAAAAGGATGTCATCTGCAAAAAGATTTAAATTCATTTTTACTTGACCCAATTGGATACCTTGAATAGCGTTATTTGTTCTTATGGAGGCTACTGATGGTTCCAATGCAGTATTTTTCTGATGAAGGAAATGTTTGTATTTATATCTTGCACTTATGCACTAAGGGTTATTTAGCTGGTATATTTATTATTCTTTGCTTTTTTATATCTTGTGTGTTGGGAAGCACTTATTTATATCAGTTTTACACTTTATTAAGCACTATTTAAATTAATTTTAGAAGCGCCTTACACACTTTTCTTTATTATTTTTTTACATTTATTTTAGAAATTAGACTGTAGGCAGAATATAAAGGATGTAATATCCCTTTCCTCTACCTTCCCCTGTACCCACAGTTATTCTACACAGCATGCAGATATAAATTCCCTTTCCACAACATTAAGAGCTTGTGAAGAATAATGGGGGGAGAATTTATTTTCAATGGGCATAGACCTGGAACTTCAGCTCCATTAGTAGCCCATTATGTTTATCTGGCCCCGTGAAGCTGCTAGCGGACGGACTTGCTTTTAAATTGTTCATGTATTTCAGTTTTTCAAATTATTATATTGCTGTGCTTATATTGTCTTCTAGATCTTGCCTATACACTTATGTACCCTGTTCTTAAAATATATCTATTGAAGCGGGGAAAGCCATACTGTTAATTTGGACTCTGTGATCAGAGGGAGTACTCACAAAACCAAATGTCTACAGTACCTGTGAACTGGATTCAAATTTCTCTCAAATTGTTGCAATGTACAAGTTGTTACAGGCATGACTATGTGATATTCACAGTTCATTGGTGACAATTATTTCATTGAAACGTATTTCAATTGACAATTTTTATTGTTTTTTTCACAGTTATCCGTGGAGTACAGAAGAGAAATGGGGAAGGGGGAATACCAACAGGTGTTGAAGACATGGTATAATCATTACATTGTATTGTGCTCCTTCTTAACAATGCTTATTGAAACGTATTTCAACATTCTCTAAATCACAGGTGCAGCTCTTACTTTTATTCTATTTCCTTCCCTGTGTACTCTAACCTCCTATTCAATCATTCTTGTCCACCGGTCCATAGGTCATTCAGCATTTAATGCTTTCAGTTTGTCCTCACTTCCTCTGATTACCACATTAACTTTGTTACCTATGGATCGACATTGTTTTTTCCCCTGACCTGATCTTTCTAAACCATTTGAAGAACACCCAACTAAAGATAGCTTCCCTATTGACCTTCTGTCAACTTTATCAACCCTGTTTCCCTACCATCCTTTGAGGAAATGTGTGTATAGAGAGATGACCCAAGAGCTGAAACCTCTTCTCAAGGTCTTGCATGCTTCCAATGAAACATATTAGGTAATGGGACACAATATGCCTTTCAGAGGCCAGTAGTAGGACAAGATGTACAGATTGAAAATGTACTGCTCAATTTCTAACTAAATGCTAGAGTCTGCATGCAAACATCAAACTACTCACCCACCAGCTGTCTTACAACCCACAACTTGCAGCAGATCATTCTCTAGAACATATTGGATATTATCCCCCTAATGTCATCATTTTGGAAAATACACTTTTTATTTTTATTTTTTGTTCTCCACTTCTTGGTTGCTTTTTTAGTTAGTTTTTCATGAATTTGCACAGCCTTGTTTTTTGCAGCTGACCATGTCTTCCCCTCAAAGGTCAAGTAATAGGTCTCCCTCATAAATAAGCTGCCTTGTTGGTTTTTAAGTTTCAAGTTAAGAGGAAATTATAGGAAGCTGCTAATTTATAGCATATCCTACAGACTGGTCTATGCATCTCACTAGATGTAATGCCTGTGAGGAGTTTGTGCTGGAAACAGGAGCGTAACTAGGAATCGCAGGGTCCCTTATATGCTCTCTCTGATACATACACTATCATACACTCATTGACACACAGTCTGATTTGAAACTCACCATGACCATGGTAGTTCCAACATTGGCCCCATGTTTAATAGAAGTCTGAACAAAAGCTATTTTAAACCTCCTAAATAGATGAAGTCACAAAACGCTTAACAGCTAATATTTGATTAATAGTTGAAATCAAGTACTTGAATTAATTATTTTAACAGTGAGAGTATGATAAACTTTCCCCATTACTCAAATTACAGAGGGATTATCTAAACATCCTGATCCTATACAGACCCCATGGAATGATGGGCCCGGTCGCAGCTGCTTCCACCACTGGCTAGAAGGAAAAACGCTTGGCACATCATGCATTCGAGCACCAGCAGGAACTTCTGCCCCATGCTAAGATGCAATTTCTTTTATAAAAGAAAGGTAAAGAATAACCATCCATGATTTAATCTAAAAAACCCTCCCAGATTACTTGAACCAGATCGGGAAGAGTCAGAAGCTTCAGATTGGGAAGGGGCTGTGTTCAGAGATGATCTATCTTCTACAAATGAAAATTTGTTACAATCTGACCTTGATAACAAAACCGTTGATTCCTTAATTTATTTAGTCATATCCACTTTGGGTTTGCAAGAACTCCAAGAGGAACAACCAGGAACACGTAAGCACTTTGTGAATTTGAAAAAGAGATCTACAGTCTTCCCTCTTCATAAAACAAAGTCATTATGGAGGAATGGCAGAAGACAGAGAAAAGACAGTCCGCGCAAGGAAAAATTCTGAGACTGTATTCATTCAAGAAGTCAAATTATGAGTCATGGGATAATGCCCCAAAAGCAGATGCAGCAGTGGTCATAATGGCAAAGGACCGGAGCCAGATAGCTAAGCCGAGTGGATGTACACAGAGATGGCTCTTGCTCTTTTGATTGAATTTCTGGGAAATAAACCTGGTAACAAAGCTACTACAACAGTGATGTGACTGCTTGCAGGGAAATGGAGTGCACTTGCAGACACCAAGCCTGAAATTGACCCTTGGTAGCCCAGTATGTAACATTATGAACTACTCATGGAGGACCTGGTTAGAGGCTCTAGATCTCACCGCTGTACTAGCAAAGAGAAACGGCAGTCTCGCTACCCCTTATCCCGGTCCCCATTGGACTTGCATCAACCTACGTAACTTCATTACTCTCACCTGACTTCTCCCATTTGCAGAACGCAGCAAGATGGCAGATACACCTTTGCCTGCCATTTATCCAGCACTGTTCAGTCTAAAGATTGGAGGCAAAAAAGGTTTGAGGCAATATTTGAGGGTTTCTGGGCAGCATTGGATGCATAAGCTCAACCTAAGCCTCTCCTATCTTGGGAAGATGACCAGAGTTGTGAGGGACATGGAGGAGGGGGGCCTTCTTCAGGCTCAGCAGGTCCATGAGCACCTATCACCATTCATGTTGGCCCTCCTGGCCCGAAGGGGCATATACCCAAAGCATTCACCATAACGACAGGCGAATGATCGCCTTCCATAACAACAGAACCTTCTATGATTTCCAAACTGGGAAGGACTTTGCAAGTCTGTGGCCTGAAGATGCTGGCCTGGGGCTGGGGAAATGTCTTATCTTGTTCCCATTTTGCGGTTTCCCCGAGATACCAGTAGGTTTTTCCTTTCTCATGTGTTATAGCATTATCTCCCAATAACTCCTTTCCAATCAAGCCTAGTTTGTTTTTAATGTTAATGTTTAACGTTTTTAATGCATAGCCTGCATTTGTTAGCATTTACATAAGATGGTGCACTAATCTCAATGCCACACAACTGTAAACCTGGGTATAATGTTGTAACGGATCGCCTGGCACCCCGACTGGGTACCTCCGTTGAAGGATGCTCCTAGCGCTTCCTGAGGACTCCAAGCACTCTGGCAGACACCACAATCACCAAACCGGAGAAACAAATAAATTCTCCCAAGCATATGAATGCTGTAGACAGTTGAATAGGAAACCATACGAATAGGTTTACCCTCATAGCAGTCAAACTGGAACAGCATACAATAAATCCTTCCCCCAATAATGAGACGACACTTCACTTTGAGGGTTAAACAGGAACTCCTGTGCTGGCACACCCAGCCTGGTTTTTATTACAGCCTTTCACATACAGGACCGCCCACAGGGAGGTATAAAACAACCAATCACATATCAATTACATCCCACATATTCCCTCCCCTTATCCTGAGAGGAAACTCAATTACATATACAGTTAAAACATACTTTCTACCCAACTTTCATAACTCTAAAACCATACATCACATTCACATAAAATTACATATTCACAATCAATCCATTCAGGGGAACAACATATTAAAAAATGGCATGAATCCGACCAGGGGTTCAAAAGTTAGTAAAAGTATCTTTTGGGCCCTGGCTGACACATGGCTATCTGGCTCAAACAGGTTTTACAGAGCCCTCTATCCTGGAGACAATGGGGGAAAGTAATCCAATTATCCAGGGATAGAGGCAGACTCCATTGAGCACATGGTTGCAAAAATACATAAAACACTTTAAAATACATAAAGGCATCTTTTACACATAAGACACAGACATTTCACATTTCCCCAGATAGCTGGGATCTGAGCGCACAAAACTACCCAATAGCGCTCAGATCCTATTCAAACAGTTCAATTGCCATGGAGCCGAAGTCTTTAACTACACGAATGGGCTCCATGGCATAGCTATCTGGGTTAACACATTCACATAAAGTCTGGTCCATAGTCCAAAGGCAAGAGGCGGGCAAGCATCCCCCTCCAAGGACACGTGGAGAGGCCGGTTTCACCACAAATGTTATGCTGGTTTATGCGGTCTGAGCATTGCAAACCTTTAGGTATCTTTATGCACTGCAGAAATATTATTTTTTTTTTATTCAGCTTGTTACATTTGAAGAAGTTCCCCTTCCTCTAGGATTTCTCATTCTTGATTCAAAGAAGGCAGTCCCTGCAGAGCTACATCTTATTCATATTTGACCAAAAGGTGATATGCCTGGTGCCCAGAGAAGAAAGACTTCAGGCCATTTTCTTGCCCTCAAAAGGGAATACAGACAGAAGACCCACCATGGATCTGCATGACCGGAATGGATTCTTGCATGCCATAAAATTCTGGTACGCCATGGTTCCCTTTTCTGTTAAAGTTGGCAGTGGAGGATCTGATTCTGTTTCACAACATTCCTAAGCTCTTTCACCAGGGCCAATTTATCACTCCGACACTCACATATTCCAACTAAGGGCATGGAAGTTAGAAGACAATGTATTTTCAGTGGCAGTCATAGCTATAATGCTTATGGGTAGAAATCAGTCCACCTCCCAGTCTTATAAAAAGATTTGGGATGAATTTACTGATTGATTGGGTCACTAAGAACCCTATTTCTCCAGTATCTAACTCCACATTTGATATTTTGGGGTTGCTTCAGACTGGATTGGATAAAGGACTCAGTCTTTTTTTTTTTTTAAATCTTTATTTTAGTGAGGCATTTACGCAAAGCAGTATAAAGAATGACAATGGAAAGTTGCTCGGCCCTGAACGCAGTCAGGGGGAACGAGCTTCCGTAAAAAGTAGCCTCCATTTTTCTTTTTGTAACAAGTATAACACAACATTGCAGGTATTGGGTACAATCAGTTAACAACGTATTAGGATAATATGCAGTGTATATGTGACAACGGTTATTGCTTCGTATACTTAGTGGCCTGCAGCTCTACAGGCCTGCGACCCATAGGCCTGGATCTCTCATGCAGGCTCTCATGAAAATTTACGGCATGTAACATATATCAGGCTTTGTCAAGGTGCAACATTACACTCTTATATGGGGTCAGTGTGTCTGGGATATGCAATGGGTTTGTAATGGTGACCTGTCAGTTTCTCTATTGATTAAGACATCATTTGTGTATGTGGTTAAGAGAAAATTGTCACGCTGTGTGAGGTCTGAGCCGGGAGGCCCGAGATGTGAATTATGCGTTCTCTGTCGTGCGTGTGCGGGTTAAGAGCCCTTGACCAAGGGGGTTGCGGGGGCGGGGGGGGGTGTTCGGTCCGCCATGTAGTGTGGTCCCTACGTCATCCGACCAGGCCGGCTATTTCTTAAATTAGTTTGTCCTATTAGAGGGTAGCAATAGGGCAGCAGCTAGAGATATATGACAGATATTAACTATGAACATAGAAATAAGAGTGAACTTAAATAATGTATTAACACATGTGTAGACAAGTGTTCATTCAGGGCTGTCTGCGCCCTGTGTGTTCATCGATCGTGGGACGAACGGTGGTATGGACGCAGGGTCCCTCATTGCCACCTCTGATGCCGAGGTGGAGGGCACATCAGCTTGCGATAGTCCCAAAGTTTCCAGGAAGGTCGGTGTATCCGTCATGGATGTCAGGGTGTGTGTCGTCCCGCCTTGGGTCGTAGTCAGGGACCCATTCAGTCCCCATCTGTATTGTAGCCCCGCAGCTCGCAGTTGTGCTGTCACCGTGCTGTATGATTTGCGGTGCAGGAGAGTGGCCCTTGTTAAGTCCTGGAAAAAAGTGAGACTTGCGGTTTCAAAAGTGAAGGGGGTTTTGCCCTTCATAGCTGACATAATCTGTATCTTGTCCGGTAGTGAGGTGCAGCGGAGGATGACATCTCGTATCGCTGTGGACTTAAAGTGAGAAGGGCTTGGGAGGCGATAAACACTGTCGATAGCTACTCTCTTTGCCTTTGCATGTGGCAGGATTGCGGCCAGCAGTCTCCTGATGTAGTGGGGTAGCTCTTCAGCCGTAATCTCTGTGGGGATGCCCCTGATTTTAACATGGGTTCGCCTCTGGCGATCTTCTAGTGAGGTGAGCTTAAGCGACAGAAAGTGCTGCTGCGTGTACAGTGTCTGTATGGAACCCTGTACTTCGGAAAGGTGAGATTGTACCTCTGTTATGGCCTTTTCGTTGGTTCCAACCCTCTCCGACACTGCACGGACCTCCGTTTTGAGAATGGCCGAGTCGGCCGCGAGTAGCTTATGTATTTCGGTTAGTAGGAGTTTTAGGTCCTTTTTCGTAGTAGGAGCTGAGTCATCGGGTGGGTCTGGAGGCCCATCTCGTTGTGGTGGTGGGTGCGGTGATCCCTCGGGCCCAGTTTGGTGTGGCGCCGGGGCCTGCTCTCTTTCTTCCACGGCGGGAGGCCTAGATGGCGGTGGCTTCTGGAACATAGTTCCTATGTCCCTAGTTTCTGCCGAGGTGTGCGTCCTCTGAGAACGCCTACCCATGCTTGGCAAGCTCTGGGATGAAGCCTGTACCGTGTGGGTGTAGGGTTGTTCCGCTCTTGATGCTGCGATTTCTCCCAGGAAACTCCCCAGGCCTTGCAGCGTGTTGTAGGCCCCGGTTTTGGGTTTCCGTCGGGCTGGCTTTGGCGGTTGGAAAAAAGGCATCTATCGATGCTATACGTTCCTCTGATCACAGCTGGGATTGTGTGGAAGCCGGATTGGAATCGGTTTAGCAGATATCGTCTGGATTCGATTTGCAGTTTTGGGAGCTTCAGAAATGGCGTCTGGTCAGGACGCTTGGTAAGCCCCGCCCC